AGACATGAAGAAGAGGGGACACATGTTGATGTAGAAGAGACATGAAGAAGAGGGGACACATGTTGATGTAGAAGAGACATGAAGAAGAGGGGACACATGTTGATGTATAAGAGACATGAAGAAGGGGATTTTGCATAATAGGTGACCTTTAAAGTGTATTAATGGTCAATAGCTCCTTTTTTGTTTGTTGATGCTTCTGTCGTGTTTCTGCCGCCTCTTAGGGTCGGATCCATCTGTACAATATTCTCAAATGGAGCAGAAGGTGGAGGAGGATTGTAGTAGCCAGGAGCAAAAGCTGGAGGAGGAAGGTATTCGTAAGGTAACCCGTCATCATCATAAGCGAGGGAATATGGCGACTCATTAACAGCGTGCATCCCTGTGATCTCCTGGTACTCGTTCTCCGTGACTCCACTCCTCTCCTCCACGGGATTCTCCGGCAACGGTCTGCCTATCTTTTGTAATTTCTTCTTCAGGTTCTTCAGGTTGGAGACGACTGCCAGCTTTGCTTCCTGAATCTTTGCAGACTGCATGGTGGCGCTCATGTGGGGTGGAGTGGCTGCGGGAGCGAGGGGGGTCCCAGATGAAGAAACTGTTCTGATGCAAGCCTGGTTCTGCCTCGCTGGAAGGAAGGGGCTTCGGGCGGGGACCTCCGGGCGCTGGTGGGACGGAGGGTTGTCCGATCTCTTTCTGATCACAGGCTGGAGATCATAAACATGAGACAGCATCAACATTGTAAGAAAATGAAAGGACACCCTATCCACTGAACACATGCTTCAAATCATAGATGTATCTATAACATTGTGACTAAATAAGCAACACACACAGATTAAAGGGGCCCGTTTAGTTTTTTGGGGGCTTTCCCTTTCTCCTGTAGTGTGAGAAATCCCCAAATTCCCTCCAGCTTTTCTCCCACCCTGCCTGAAACACCTCCATTGGACTCCTTTGTGCTACAGGACATCGTGATAGCAATACACTTGCACTTCTATTGGATTGCGCCAACCAATCAGAGCAGACTAGGCTCTGGTTTCAGACAGAGGGTGAAAAGAGGTGCTGCAGCATAGGCAGTATGATCAAAATAAAGACTTTTTTGAACGTTAAAGCCTGGAGACATGTCACAGTAGAGACACTTAATACAAACATTAACCTGGAAATTAGCAGAATATGAACCCTTTAATATCTTGAAAATTATCTAAAGACATTTTCTTACTTAGCTTAACAAAAAAAATCTGCAACAGAAACAGAAATCTCAGATGGGACAAAACCAAAACAGTTCGAAGGTAGAAAGAATTGTTTTTTTGTCCATATTAGACCCCATCACTAGCATATCGAAACCGGAAGATGATTCGAACAAAATAAACATTGAAAGGTCTCGAAGATAGCGTTGATCGGAAATGTTTCAAAATGTTTGATGTATAATTTTTTAAGAACAGTTTTAGAACCAGATAATATAAATGAAACTCTTCAGAGATCATTATTACCGATGCTGGGAGAGGAGGGGTGATGAACGGATGGTCTACTGACAGATTAGGGTAAAGTCTGTTTGGAGACAGGACTGCAGAGTTCCTCATGGTATCTCGATGAGGAAGAGCGGGGGGGATTTCTTCTTCTGATGTTGGGAGGGTTGAGCTTGGATGCTTCGAGTTGTTTTCCATCCAACTGATGTTGGTATTTACAGGTTTTGGGGAAAACAGCAGCTCTGCATAGTCAGACTTGTGATTGGATCTCTGGACAGAGAGAGAAGCACAACAGGTTGTTACTGTTTTCTTTTTGCATGAAGTGCAAGTGGAAAGGAAATAAGCAAATGTTGTGGTTGTTGACCGTAAAGGTGACTACAGTACAGGAAGGAAACAAGGACGTTTTCCCAAAGCAAATATACTGTCCCAATGCTATACTGACATTTACACAGTCTGATGTAAACTAACTTAGGATACAAACCATTCAAATCTATATCTTTTAGATCAACAGTCACCTGTATTCAGTTCCTCACCTGTCCACAAGCGACAGTCAACACCTCGCTGAAAGGCAGGATGGGAGTCCTGCGGTGGAAGTCTATGAGCTCCTGCAGACCCCGGTGGCGCAGGTCTTCTCCAACTATGATATACTGACCGTCCTCTAATGCATCGATCATGAAATGTCTGCAGCGGTCATCAGCACTGAGGGGCAAAGAGAGAGGGGGGGGTCCTCATTAAAGGGGCCCTATTCTGCTCGTATTCAGGTTCATACTAGTATTTAGTGTCTCTCCTGTGACATGTCTCCATGCTCTAATGTTCAAAAAGCTCTTTATTTTGTTCATACTGCCTGTGCTGCAGCACCTCTCTTCACCCTCTGTCTGAAACCAGAGGCCAGTCTGCTCTGATTGGTTAGCTGGACGGCTCTGTTGTGATTGGTCAACCGCTTATGGCACATTTCCACTGCAGCGCGTAGCACGGTTTAAGCGTGCCGTGCCAAACCCGGAGCGTTTTTTTTTTGCTTTTCCACTAGGGGTAGTTCTGCCTCAGGGCTGCTTTTTCACCTTTTTTCTGGCCCTCCAAAATCGAGGTTCTTACCGGGCCAACAACCGGGCTGGGTATGCTAAACTAGTGACGGCAAGGGGGCTACAACTACAACAAAATGAACATATTTGACCGTGATTTAATTGTAATACACGTTTCAAAGTGATGCCGAAGTAACAACATACTGATACTGGTTAGTAAAAACCACGAATTAATGCTTTGCTTTTGAAATGCCTCTCCTGCAGAACCTCACCGGTATGAGAGAGTGTAACCGATCCGGCTCTCACTNAATTTTTATATATATGTATTGAGTGTGCATATGCGCGTTGTTTTACATGCCTGTTCATGGGTTCCAATTTGGTTGCAAAAGTCCATCTAATCTTATTCCAATATACATTTCCTAGAAATGTTGCCTGACAGAATAATTGCTAATTAATAAGCAACGTAAAGTCATTGGGTAGAAAGTCAGCCAACCTTTTTGGAATTGATATTGTGATAACTGATAAAAGGTAATTTATTCATAAGAAGAAATGTTCAGAGAAATGCTGTATCAGCCTCTGGTTTATCTATCATGTTCCCGACATACCTTAACACAAAAGACATTTGGATTGCGGGATGGCATGTCGTCCCTATATTCTGACCGTGTTTAAATGCCAAACGATTAATGCCAATAGAAAAACAGATAGGCAGATGAATGATAATCTAAGAGTTTTTTGTGCGGTAACAACAACGAGTCAGTGTTTCTATCCTATACTGTTCACGCCACCACTTTGAGTGGCCTAGAGAAGAAGAGGGAGTACTGTTCTGACCTGTTGGATCCGGTGTCCAAGCGCGGATACACGCCTTCTCCAAATGAACTGCTCCCTGTGAAGCCATGCGTCGTAACGCCCAGACTTGAGAGGGGAGAAATGGAAGAGGAGCTTTATTTTGGCCTAACACCATAACATTACATTTTACTTGGTACCATCCTTGAAAAACACAATTTCGTCTTGAGTTTGCGACAATTTAAAGTCCTTGTTAAAAGTATGTGTTTTTTTTATAATGTTTACATGGACTGCCCCCCCACCCTCCCTTAGGGGAATCATCCCCCAAAAAACACACACTGGATGCTGCACTAGGTCAGAAACCAGAGGAGACTGTGAAGTCCATCGTAGACGGACCACTTTTGGACAAAATGTCCTCTCCATTAAAGGCAGCTCATTCATAGCCTCCCAACTGAGATACGGGATTGTCCCACTCTGAATAGCTTTAAAGGTCAACTCAAAGAATGGTTGAGAAACAAACAGACGTGCAGTCACCGCTAAATGCACTTTAACACAGGGGTATCTCCTCTTGCACTTTAGGTAGCTCTTTTATCTTCTCTTGCACTTTATATGTCGTAGCTGCTACATTGTACTGCCATGTGGTAAATACTTGTGTATGCTGCTCTTGCTCTTTTGCACTTTTTGCATATCATGTATTTTGTTTTTGTTATGTTTATAAAATGTAATTTTCTTAAATGTTTTATGTGAGGGACTGCGGATGGAAATTAGCTCAAAGCTAAATCTGGCACTGTTACGCTTGACACATTTGAATGTTTTAAGTGTTCATTACTGTGCATTGTCCCTGCCAAATAAACGATTAAATAAAATGAAATGCTGTCGCTTTCATCCAAAGCGACTTCAAATTAACCATGAAGATACAAATTCAAAACAAGAATCATCATCTTCAAAACATGCCAATATCAGTGCTGATACATTTACAAGTGATATAGGAAACTTTCTTCTTACTACTAAGGCAGGGCAGTATATGGATATTAAATCGGTATTGTGATGAGACACAACTTCTTAGATTTTGGATATCGTAATATGGTTGACTATTTTGTACTTTTAAAGGCTGTGTTACAGTAAAGGAATGTCCTTTTCTTTCTAATTTGTAGATTTGTCTTTAACCTTAAGTCCTTATATCCACAGTACTGATGATTATTTATTAAAACATCCCATTGTCTAAATATTTGTTATCAAAGCACAAATAAGCCACCCAACAACATTGTTATCGATATCAAGGTTATATCAAATGATTGTGATATTTGATTTACTCCACATCGCCCAACCATACTTACAGTGTATACATATGTTTGGACCAGTACTTACGGTCCAGACTCGACTATCAGAGATCCGACTTTCTCCAGTCCCTTCTCCATCACATCTTTACACTCTGCAGAAAACTCCGCCTTGCAGCCCTGGAAGTTTTCAAACTCAAACAGAAACACCTGGAAGACAAAAAGCTGCAGATTCACTCCCTGTTTAACAACAAGTCAGTATCCATGAGGTGTGGTTTGGATATAGGCCTTCATAAAGGGGCTAATATTGATCCTAAATAATTGATTTCACTTGACCAAACAGTGGGGGGGGGGGAAAGTATTCAAATCCTTTGATTATAATACACTAAAATACTCTGTTAGTCTGTTAGTTAAATCTTGCATTTAAAATGTTATGTAAATACCTGAGTAAAGGTACTTTGTTACATTACACCACTGCCAAAGAGAAAATCCAAAATACCCACTTACAGCAACATGTATTTTTATGTGTGTTCAGCAGGTCACATTGATTTATTTCTTTTTTTAACTAAGGAGATTTTGATCCAATAGGAGGACATGTTGGCTCCTTCCCTGACCAAACCAGGTGTCCAGCCCTGCACAGACTCTGTTTCTCAGCACCTTATACGAGGCTTCAGCTCCTCCCTGGCTCTTCCCTGCCGCCTGCTGCTCTGGGGCACTCTGCTGCTCCGACATCCTCCTGATCCACTGCTCATCCACTTTGTGCCAGCAGCAAACACACAGGCAATGTACCATCCATCATGCATGCATGTTCAGGGACGGAAACACAGACAGGAGGAAAAAAGCTCAATGTCAAGATTGCAATGTATGACTCAAGTAGTGGATTGTATTCCTTTTGTAAGGATAATCATTAACTGAATAGGACACAAAAGATGATATCATCCCTTAAAGTGTGTCCATGATACTAAAATCATCCAAACCTTGGTCTCCACTTGATGCAGCACCATCTAACTCCATTGCATTGGATGTATTACCCCGCCTGTGTCCACAGTGAGCTTTTTACCTGGGTATGTCTGCTAGGAAGTGGTACTGTCCCTCTTTGTTCGGTGCCACTTGCTGTATGGTGGGGTTGAGCCATTAAAGGGAAGAGACAGGGGGGGTATTTATGGTTTATTTCTGGCCACAACAGCAGAAAAAGGGGAGCTGTTGATACAGCAAGTCTGTCACTCACATTGTGTCCGTAACGCTGCCTCTCAATAGGCAGCTGTGTTGGCACGCGCTGCCCTGCCTGTCCATCCGCTGCCAGCGAGCACTGTGTGCGGGCAAGGGGAAAGAGAGCCAAGAGGATTCAGCAAACAGCCCCGCTCAGCACAAACACACACACACACACACACACACACACACACACACACACACACACACACACACACACACACACAGGGATTAGACACACAAAACTTCCTCTTAACCCACATGTAGGTTAGTGGTATCAAAAATATGTCCATTCACAGGATGCACTGTATAGTAAATCTGTGAATTGTGAAATCATTTATAATAAGGGTAGCGGTAGAAAATATAAAACCCTTATAATAATTTTAAAAAATATTTTGGAAAAATATAGTTTTAAATTCACCGATTAATTTATTCGGACCTCTTTTGACCTCAAAGTAAGACTTTCAGTAAATTGTTTGAACCAAAAAGAGTTGCACATGTTACCATCCCTGAGGAATACCTACAGTGGTCTAAACATGTTGGCTTTTTAATAAATAAACCTTAACAATACAATCTTTTTCATGTCTTCCTTGTGGTTTCCTTTTCTAACATTTTTCTGGAGGAAGTTGAGTGCCTGAATCAACTTCCTGTGTTTTCCAAAAGCACCCAATACATGCTAATCTACACTTGAGTATACTGAGCAACCAATCTTTCCTAAAACGATAGAACATTTCGTTTTTTTAAATATCCACAAGGTTAAACTCTGCCAGAAAAACTCTAGACCAATGTTTAACTCAAGTACATTTTATTAAGAATGTATCCACTTTAGGACACTGGCCAGTACAACACAGTGCAATATACATCTTTACTTTCAAATAAAAAAAGGACAAAAAATAAACCCTCAAATTTTTATGACAAAGTAAAAGGTCACGTACATAGAAACCAGGGACAATCCCCCCAGAGGACTTCGACACATTCACTTGCATTGCATGAGAAAATCTCCAACAACACAGGAGACCAGACGAGAGGCAGAGGTCAGAGCCGTAGTGTGTCGAGTGACAAAGTGCTTTATAGAAGCGCAGCAGCAGGAGGAGGATTACAGTAAAGGTGGAAAGCAGGTGCAAATGTTCATATGCTTTTAGGAGTTCCATCGAGTGATTTAAACAAAGTAGTGAACAAATAATCCCTCCACTGGAGCACCCAACACTTTCAGTTTGACAGCAAAGATTGTGCATGCACATTAAAGGGGACACAATTCCACATTTTGTTTGAAAAACAACAAAAAGCATTATCAAATCAGGATTTAGGAGTGTGTGAGGGCTAAAATCTGAACGTATGGCTTTTAATAAACGCTACAATCATTCTGGGAAGACAGGCTGATTAGTGTTTCTCTTTTATAAAAGTATTTGTG